CACCCAACTAATCTATGATTTATTTCAAAATGACTCTAAGAGTGTAAACTTCCCAACACATAAAGATGATTAATATTTGATGATATGGAAAGGCTCAATACTTTGACTTTATTATACATTGCACAAATATATCAAATTACCATAATGTAGCCCATAAAGATGTACAAATGTGTCAAAAATAAATAAAATTTCCTTAAATTGGATCTGTTCCTTTACCTACATTTATGATTGCCATTTATACAAGGCCCTCTTTAACATTTCTAGAATACAGTACTCTAATACTTGGTTCATATTTTCCTCTCTGTCATTAAAATCTATCATCACTTGATACACTAAAATGTTACTAAAATTTGAACTCTATTAATCCCAAACAATGAACTCATCTCTATTCCAACAAACTTCTACACATCCCCATCTTAGCAATATGCATTCCTGAGAGAATTTAAAGAAAACTGTTTCACTTCTCCAGTTCTCAACTGTGAACCTCTTGCTCTGGACATACTGTCTCTTGACCCCTCAACTTCCTAACTCCTACTGAACCCATTCTTTGCCCTCACACCATGTCACACCCTTACACCCGAAGTAAAACTAAATTCATTTTTTCCTGAATTATTTCGGTGTAATGCTTAGCACTATTGAAGTTATAGTAATAACTGCAACCACCAAACTCACACTTTAAAGATTTCAAAATTACTTGATAGTTTTTATTCATTTACTCTGAGCTTCAAACACATTCAAAAACCCCTTTCTCAAGATTACCCTGCCTATTTCACTTAGAAGCCATGATTGCAACATCCTTAGCTTCTTAAATTTATATATAACCTTATTCATCTCCATTCCTTTCCCTGTGTCTCACCAAACTGTTGACTCGACTCAACTCTCCCCTATTTTTTCTGGAACCTCAACACATCAATCATCTCCTATGTGATTATAAAATCATTCCCTATCAAACTGTCTCTATATTCTTTTTTAATCCTATAGGCAAAAAATAATTTAAAAATTTTTAATCCTAATTTCCTACTTAAAATTAGTCTAAAAGAAATCTTTCCTTCCCTTTGCAATTTTGCTGTTTCCTCACCATCACTCATTCCTTTTTTTTTTTTTGAGACAGGGTCTTGGTACACAGTTCAGGCTGGCCTTGAACTCAATGTGTAGCACAGGCTGGCCTCAAACACAGTGACCTTCCTGCCTCAGCCTCCCCAATGCTGGGATTATAAGCGTGCGCCACCATTGCCAATCACCACTCACTCATTTAGCTTCATAAACCCTGCTTTTGCCTGCTACTCTATTAAACAACTTTACTACAGCTAAAAGTGACCTTGTAAATGCCAAATCCAGTATCCTCATGCTGCTTTATTTATTTTTTTTTTTTTTGGAGACAGGTTCTCACTATTTAGTCCAAGCTACCTTGAACTCAGTATGTAGCCCACGCTTGCCTTGAACTTGGAGTGATCCTCCCACCCTACCCCCATGGGTGACCCACACCTACCCCTCAGAGTAAGTACTTTAACTGACACAGTATTTTGCACTTGCCTCTCTTTCTTCCTAAACTTACTACATTCCTAATCTGTCTGCCTAGCTGCTTACCAATGTTTCTTTACTTTCAAATTAATTTTGTGTGACTGAATACTTTTCTTACTCTATACTACCTATTTCTACAAGCAATTCCATTCACTCCAGTGGCTTCAGCTAAGAGCTCTGCAAATATGCAGCTTTATCATGATTAACTGTAGCTTCTCATTCATTACACTTCCAATGCAAAGCAGACATTACCTGCACCTAAAGAAAGACATGAGACACTAGTCCCTCAAGATGGAATTAGAGGACAGGAGAGTTTCTAAATAAGCAAGTTTGAGAAGAAATACACATGCTTAGCCATTCTCTTCCTGAAACACAATGTATAGCCCCATATGAAAAGCTCTGAAAAATCCCACAAACAAATTTCTAGCTAGTTATCACACTTTTTTGACCATGAAACTTCTTCCTCCAAATAAGGCTCGTTAATGTATTATGGCAGCAAATAAATTTAAAACTATAGATTTTTTTTTAATTTAGATTTTGAGTCCTGCCACTGGTTCAGAGATAGCTATTACTAACATATTTAGGTTCCCTAAATCCCACTTTCTTATCTTTAAATAAAAAATAGCCATTTTATAAAGTCACTTAGCAAGTTCCTGTCTAAAAAGTGTTTTAAAAAGAGGAAAACTAGCTGAGAAAGTACCTCAGTGCAAAGGCCCTAGGTTCAATCCCCAATATCAAACACACAAAGAAAAATTTATGCCAGAAAACTAAATATACACTATTTTTAAAAGGTACCCTGGGGACAGGGATTTAGCCATGATTTCACCGCCAGACTCGAAAGCACAAGGACCCGAGTTTGATCCCCAGTACCAAAAAAAAAAAAAAAAGGAACTCTGTATTCTTAAAAATTAATGTTCACTGGCCAGGGATTTTGCTCAGTGGTTCCGCTGCCTGCCTCACAAGCACAAGGTCCCACGTTCAATCCCCAGTACCAAAAAAAAAAAAATTAATGCTCACAATGAAAAAACTATTACAGACAGCTGAGTTAGGTAGAAATATTATACAGGCAGTCAGATAGGGATAGGCCTTTGAGAGAGTCAGGACAAAGGATACACATCACAACTGTGCTCCAGACAAATCTGTTGGAGATGGGTCCTTAAGACAAAGACAAGATAACCAGAGCTGTATAGTTCCTCAAAGGACAAACACTGGGCCTAATGAAGTCCATGTAGACATCAATCACCCCAGCAGGTAACCAGAGACCTCTGGACTCTTCATTTCCTAGAAGTTTTTGCTCTTTCCAACCACAATTGTTACGTGATTTTTTTTCCCAATTGGACCACTATTACCTAAGTGACTATATTCGTAACCTTATTGGTCGACCTTGGCTGTGGCCCTCACTGTACCTAACATGGGTTTTGCTCTATAAAACTCCTTTGTAAAGTGGGATCCCCAGGCTACCCATTGGGTTCCCCTCCTGCCTCTTAACCTCCATTGTTCCCAGAATTCATTCTTCAATTTTTAGAGAACACAAGCTTGGCCTATCAAACAGCTAGCAGGTTGAGAGATATAACATGTTCCTATTTCATCTTCAGTGTCATTTCCTGTGTCAAAACTAGAGGCTTGGGGCCTAGGATTTAGCTCAGTGGCACTGCGCCTGCCTTGCAAGCTCAAAGTCCTAAGTTTGATCGCTGGTACCAAAAAAAAAAAAAAAAAAAAAAAAAAAAAAGTAGAGGCATACTAGAGAATAGCTAAGTAACATCAGGTTTGGAAATGTTTCTTATTATATATTATTTCACAAGACAGTTCAAAAGAGAAGTCATTAGAGAAAACAAAAAATATTCTTGAGAGATATAACCAATAAATATCAATGTCTTTTAAGGATTAACACCCTCACTCTCAAAATTCACTCGCAGAAACTATATCTGTAAATTAACTATAATAAAAGAACCTAAGTGTAATCAGGTAAAGGGACTGGATTTGTTGAAGGACAGGCTAAGATCTTGCCCTATCATCCCAAAATGGTAGTAAACAAAGATTAAATGAATGTGCCTGGCTTGGCTCAAAAGGATGACACAGAAGGATTTTGAGGCCAATGTGTACTACCTAGTAAATTTAAAACCAGCCTGAACTACACAGCGATACCATCTCCAAAAAAAGATTAAGTTTATTTTTAAAAGGCTGTGCATCTTAAAATGATGGATGATTATACCAAAAGCTCTGAATTAGGAAGCACACAAATGATGCCAGTTAAACGTTGCACTCATCTAATGTGTCTATTTCACATGAAAATTTAAGGGAGTGAAACATTAATACAAATGATCATGAAATGAAATAATCGATTCGTTGGAAGTTAAATTTAAGTGTACTCCTCCTCTTCTAAGTCCACAGGACATTAACACAGGGACTTGAGGCGCCTTCGATGGACAGATTGTTTGACAAAAACTTGCAGTATGGAAGGTGCTTATAACACTTTTGCGTTAATAAAACTTAGTATACAAAACTCAAGCTGGTGATTTAAATCTTAAAACAATTTCAAAAATAAAAATATGCTAAGATAAAAAATACAAAGGAAATGAAGGCTTCAAGTCCTTTGTTTGACTTTCGAATCACTTTGGGAAGGTGCAGGCAGAGGCTGGAAGACAAAAAAGCTATTAAGTGAGCCTTTTAGAAGAAAAAGACACAATAAGGTACTTATAAGGCAATTAGCAAGCCTCGCCCTTCCTTTGGTGCAGACGCCGCTACCTGCAAGGGCAAGGGGGAGGCAATGGCAGGAATCAAAGAAATAGAGGAAAAGGAGAGAGGCTGGAAAAGAAACAGGAACACTGGTGGAATAACGAGGAAGGCGTGGCAGAGGAGGACCAAGCCAACCGGGAAGATCCGTCGCCCGAAGAGACTCCAGCATTGCTAGCTGGAGCAGGGCAGAAATGAAAGGGGTGAAAGCCCAGCGGGAGCTGCGATGACAGCTCGCACTGGGTCTCTCACTCGAGGGGCGGGATCAAGCCCGGAGTCTTCCATTGTGCGCCCCCCCGCCTCTCCC